ATAAAGTGCTACCAGACCATTTTCTGTTTTTTAAGTTTATAGCTCAGTAAGTTTGGCCACCTTTGAGGTAGACAAACACATGATCTTGTACAGAAGACACTGCTGGCCAAAACCAGGCTAGATCGGCAAATGTACAGTGAATATAAAATAACGGCAAACCTTTCACCTTATGACAGCTAGACACCTTTAGCTTATAGGAATACTAGCAGACTTGCCCGGCATTGCCTGGGACCTTCAGGGCAGAGCCTTGGGGATGTGGGGATATGTGCAGAAGGCTGGGGGCCACAGGCCTGTTGTATCTACCTCAGGCTCCCCCCATCCACCATGGGCCAATTGTCTCTCCCCTCAGCCCACCAAGGCCCTCCCCCCCCCAGATGACAGGGGCCCGTTTTCTCCCCCTGCATCCCTGCCCCCAGCCACCAAGGCCCTGTTGTCTCCTCTACCCGCCACAAGGGGCCTTTTTTCTCTTTGCTTCCCATCCAGTGCTGTGACCAAGGGCAGGGAGGGGAGGAAAGGATTTGGGGCATGGGCACTACTTACTGGTGTGTTGTCAGGCAACATGACAGAGCCCCAGCCCTATTGACGGCTCCCTTGGTGGAATGATTGCGCCCAGTGGACACGCTGCCGGTTTGCTGCCCCCAGTGGACACTCTAATATCACATCCCTCCAAACAGAACCTACTCCTTTTGCATGTTATGGAAAACAGTCCTTTTCCCAGGACTTTCAGTCAGGGGCAGATGACGGTTTTGCGGGGCCCCGGGCAGCATACTTCTGCGACCTTCAGGGCAGAGCCTTGGGGATGTGGGGATATGTGCAGAAGGCTGGGGGCCACAGGCCTGTTGTATCTACCTCAGGCTCCCCCCATCCACCATGGGCCAATTGTCTCTCCCCTCAGCCCACCAAGGCCCTCCCCCCTCAGTTGGGAGAAGTTAGGAGAAGAGGAAGCTGCATACCAAATTTGGTTCAAATTCTTGAACAAACAGACTCACAGACAGACACACTTTAAAGTGTGTGTGTGTGTGTGTGTGTGTGAGATAGCCACTACCATTTTGCTCATTGATATTAGAATTTATTATTCCATTTGACTACTGGATTGAATTATTGTGTGTGCCATATTATGAGAGGAGCTGGCATCATGACCTATTGTTACAATTGCCCAATCTTCTCCTGATAAGACCCTGGTTTTAATTACTTAGAATTTTGCTGAAATTTGGGCTAAAATATTCCAGACCTGCAAAATTAGATGATGATCTAGTAAGTGTGATTGTGTTTTCCACTAGTCCTAGCAACGAAACAATTTACTATTGCTACCTCCTAGCTAAAGGAGTTATTTAGTCTGAAGGTTGGAGACCTATGACATTTTTTTTTTTAAGGCCTGAGGTTCCATGCCTACTGATGGCCATCGTGTCTATATGTGTATGTGAACTTAGTTTGTTTGCGCCCTAACTGCTGCTGGCATGCGATTGTCAGAATCTTAAGAAAAACTTGAAAATCTGACCCAGATGTAACCAATGCAGCGCTATCTGCCTGCATCTGTTGATGGCTTGGAATAGTAGCTCTGGGAGGGATGAATTTCCATATGTATTTTAATGGAGACTTAACTGCAAACTCCACTGCTCTAGGCGAGCCCTGCCAGTACCACTTTGCACTGATGACTATATATGCGACAGGAGAAGAGTGTTATAAATCCAGGCTGTGCCTTGGCAGATACCACCCAGATACTGCAGCAAGTACCAGGAGATTTGCTGCTGCTGCTCTGCCTGCCTGGTCTTTCTTGAAGAAGAAAGAACACTGCTGCTCCTGAGATGAGGGGGAGCCCTGCATCTGAAGAAGACAAGAAGACCTGTGCCACTTCCACTCAGGGAGAAGTGGGTGGACCCTTTTCACTGTCACTCCAAGTAGGCAATGGGGCTGTGATATAGCCTCCCAGATTGCCTTAATCGGGCCTTGGGTATTTCTATACCTTGTCCGCTACACTAGAATACGCACACAGCTTTCCCTCTCTTGTCCAACTCTTTTCATTTCTATTCCATATTAGTTCCTTTTTTGACTGCAGAACTTTTTATTACACAAGATGGCACACTTTCTCCATGTAATATCCCCTCTCATTGCTTATTATCAAGGGCTGCATCTCTTTATAGTTGACATTTGCTTGCTGTGTTTTAATTTTTTTAAACCAATTCCTTAAATCCTCGTTGGTATTTCTCATTTCAGCCAATTCTTTTCATCCTTAGTGTGAATTACCTGTTCCATTAATTCTTTTTGATAGTATATTTGTTAGCTTTCTTATGACCTCTTATTGCAAATCCTTCACCATATTTTTATGACTTGCTGGTTTTATAAAGTATTGAACTTGCTATTGTATCTTTTTAGCTCCATTGTATTTTTAATCTGCTACACATGAATAAACATATAGTTCATTGTATATGCCTCCCTTAAAATATATTATGACAATGATTAATATTGTAAATAATATAAATAATACTTTCTAATTTTTAGGTGCCTTCCATCTGAGAATTCCAAATCATATTGCAAGCATTAGGCTGTGTCTACATTGGCCCCTATTCCGTAATAGGGATGCAAATGTAACACTTTGGAATAGTCAAATCCGCGGGGGATTTAAATATCCCCCGCGGCATTTGCATTAACATGGCTGGGCGGTTTTTTTTTCTTTGTGTTGTATGGAAGAGGGTGCTGCACCTAGCCAGACCTAATCCCTAGGATGACCAGGAAAAGGCATCACCAGCAGTGAATGGGGACACTTGACAGCAAGAAACAGACAAGCCCTGGGTATATAAGGAGGAAAAACTGCGAGGAGCGCTGATGGTTGGCACATGTCCTGTTAGTTCCATGGTTTGTTTCATTGTTCTTTTTATTGGTGTGCTCTGCTTCGGTAGATTGGGATTAAGAGGGTCTAGAGAAATATATTTTTATAAGAGCATATATGGGTGACGGGATCAGACAAATATGGAGAGATTAATCTGAATCCTTGATTTCCACATTGCCAGCACCCCATCTCCTTGGATAAATAATGCAGACACAAAAAACAGGAGACATATAAATGAGACTGATTCTGCAACATATGTTCTACTTGAGAGACACAGTTTGATCGACCCCAGAGGGCACAACGGTGCAACACGCTCAAATAGTGGAGAAGCAGTTGCGGGCGACGGTGCGGAACCGGTGCCGTGGATAAGGTAGGAACAGTCCAGTGGGGTGGACTTTCACCTGTTAAGACCTGGGGACGCCCAGTGTCTCCTGAGGTTATGGGGCAGGCGACAGGCAGGGCATGGTGTACGCCCTTTGAATGCATTCTAGTGAACTGGAAAGTGTTTGGATCAGATCCCATGACTAAAAGTAAACTGAAAAGGTTCTGTATAGTAGACTGACCTCAATATCAGCTAGAGGACCAGGAAAGGTGGCCACCGGAAGGATCAATCAATTATAACACGATCCTCCAATTACTCCTGTTTTGTCAGCGAACGGGTAAATGGCATGAACATTTATATGCGCAGTTGTTTATGGCTTTAAGAAATAGAACAGATATTTTGCAACAGTGTAATTTAACTCCGTC